AAAAAAAAAAAAAGTTATACTTACCTGAACCAGTTCCTGTAGCCTCTCTCCCCCTCCGCAGCAGTCTAAGGTCCTGTGAATCATAGAGCATATAGGACACCGAGGCACATTTCATCACTGGACAGGAGGAGGATACAGGAAGGTTCAGGCGAGTATAACTTGATATTTTCGTTCCAAGCCAAAAACGAGCACTTAACCATTGCAATGTTTTAAAAAAAAAAAAAAAAAACCTTATATTCCTTTCATAGCACATGCATAAAACAAAATTCTTAAGATGGTTAAAGAGACCTGCAATTGCAATGCAACTCGTGGCACATAATATAGTTATGAGGCAATGATGCTATTCCAATTCACAGCATGTGAACTGCCATGTGGCACATGAGCCTGTTTTCATTGCGAGTCCCTTTAGACGAAGTCATTCATGAAAATCATTAACCTGAGTCAGAGTACAGCCTAGAACCACGAGCAGCAGTTCTACAAAAACAATAATTGGATGCATACATATCAGTTATAAATTAGAACAATTTCAGAGATCTGACAGTCAGCTTAGGAACCCCTCGGGGACAATGCATATAAAATCTCAACAGTTCATTTAAGGCCAGAATTAGAGCGATGCCAAGAAAGATTTGCTGAAATATTCTTTCTGGGATATTTTTTAGAGGCAAAGAAACTGTTAGAAGTTATAAAGTGTACACCAAAATAAAAAAAAAACCACAGCTGAAAATATATCTGATCTTATAATAAATCTGTACGCACTGCATGGACCACAAGAACTGAATCAAAAGGTGCAAATACTAACTTTACATTATAATCAGATGTCATTGTCCAGCAAAACACTAAAAATGGTAACCTGGGAATCCGCTCTTCCTCAGGATGCGCACAGAGGAAACGGACAGTGGAGGGAATGTGTCATTCCACACAATGAACTATTGTAGGGTCACAATGGCATCTAGGGTCTAAAATGTATAAATGTCTCAATGATCACAAGAGGAGAGCTGAGAAACCATCTCTGTGCAGGACTCACAAATTCATCAGTCTTATTACACTTATTTCAGTCTTGTCTGGGGAATCACAGCGATAACCACCCCAGAGTACTGGAGCCTAATAACTGCACAGACATGGTCCCAAGTGTGCCATCAAAAGCAGACATGATCTTTCCCGACAGATCACACATTCATTCCATTATTAGGAACCAGACCTGCTAGGTGCCTCCCAGGGGTCAGGTTAGTGCAAGGTGTACACACCTTGCAGGATATTACTAGGGAACATCATTGAAGTGCTGACACAGTAACCCGACACTGCTGGTTACAAATCACCTATTGTGTCAAGTGTCAATACTTCAGACAACACACTTAACATACAGCAATCTCTACCCCCCTCATATAGTGCTTTGTTCAACACAGAGGGCCTGATACCTGCCCATTCTCCAAACAAAAATCAGAATGATGACAACTTAACAGTTTCTAAGGCCAAAACTCAGATCTAGACTGCCTGGCATCTGATCATAGAGAAATGAGCTATGTCTACTAGGAACGGCATGGTGATAACCTTCCCAGCACAGGGGAAGATTTCTGTACCGGGTCTGTGAACTGTCCATTTTCCTAAGAACTTTCTCAGCTGCCACCTAACACTGCAAGTCAAGCCCAAACTTTTTCTCTAAGCTTTGGTTTGAGTGAAGGTTTAGAAACCAGGCATTTTCTGCTACCCGGGGCACATCTCCTCATTTATGGCCAATGGGTTCCATGAGAAAAAACTCCAACAGCAACACAGAAAGAATGAATAAAGGGGAGGTTGAAACCCGGCAGGTTTTGAATGATGTTTACATGCCTGTTGGAGAGTTTCCCTCCTGTCTGCTGACAACATAACAGAGAGTGAAGGGAAAGTCCTAGATCCATGGCTGTCCACTACAAGGTATAGGGGGACCTCAACTGTGGCCCCTGATATCACCAAAGGGGTACATAGGGGGGAATTTATCCAAACTGGAGCAGACAAAATCTGGAGCAGATTTGCACTGCCGCCAATCAGCTTCTCTTTCATTTTCAAATCCCAACTCATCAAACTGAAGAGAGATGCTGATTGGTTGCCATGGGCAACTGCTCCAGTTTTGATAAATTCCCTTAAAAATGTTCAGTACATGTCACACTACGTCTGTGGACATCACACCGCAAGAGATGGTCAGAGACTGGTCAGGCTGTGGTGTGTTTGGAGACTGGCGACAGGACACAAGCATTGTCTGAGATCAAATTACAAGAGACTGCTAGAGACCACCGTCATGGCAGTCCCATTACAAATAAACGTTTGCACTAGTAACTGCTGTGGTCCAAGAGCTCCACAACAAATGCCAGAAGCTTGCAGGTTGGGCACCCGGGGTCTGAACGACAGTTAAAATCAGACAGGATTCCTTCCCCACCACATCTAAAAATATAACAAAGTTTCGGCTGGACATATCCTTTAATAAACTGAACAATTCACATAAGCAATGCTGAAACTATCACACTGGCAGAAAAAACTCTCCCCTTTGCGGGTGGCACTGTGCTGCTTTAAATAAAAGATCAGTCCACTGATAATTGAATTTGTTGATATATATATGGCCGAGGTTTAATGGGGCAACCCAGTGCAGAGATTCCTCCACTGAAATCCCTGGCTCTGCGCCACCTACTACAATCTTAGTCACCATGTTACAATGTGACAACAGAATATCGTTACAATCAGCTTCAGAATGACCAGAACTATGCAATATAAAGACCTATCCCATCTATCCCATCCGGCAGACCTTTGCTCTACATAGTTGCTGGTAGATCTGAGGGAGATTGTAACTCAAGGTGAGCCTTAGGAAGTAAGGATCTTCACCAACACACCTTGGTATAGTCATAATCTTCTCCTTTCAGGGTCCCCTTTTCAAGGCAGCGTGAAGTGAGAAAGATATTCTGTGACCTCCTGAAACTTGGCCTGTGATGCCTGTTAGTTTATCACTATACCGAGGTGTGCCGGTGAAGAACTTTATTCCCCTTTAACTGCCGCCCACCAACTTACTACAGCAACCTGTAGAACTGGGCAAGCCTGAAAGGTGTGCGACAGATGCAATACAACCTACTGCAGTCTCACTTCTCTGGCCATAAAAAAAAGCCACAGCCAGCCAAGTTCTCCCATGGAATAGGTGAGCGTTTCCCTGAGATAAAGAAAAAGGCCAGTGGATGATTTCCTTGCCAGCGTCTGCCAAATACAGAAATCTCTGCCTTCAGTGAGGAGACTATTTAAATGGCGCACTAGAGCAGCCATTCTCATCCGGTGTTCCATGAAACCTCAGGGTAGCTTCAGATTGTTAGGGCTTCTTTGAGCTGTGCTTAACTTGCCACCCATTCTATGGCACCTAAATATTTTCATGCCCTACGCCACTTAGCAGTGACAGCAGCATGACACCCATTATCTTTTTAGCTGTCTGAAAAGGTAGCAATTTGACCACCACCGAAACGCGGTAGGCATTCCTCCCACTGACCACCACCGTAACCCAGTGGGCATTCCTCCCACTGACCACCCCCGTAACAAGGTGGGCATTCCTCCCACTGACCACCACCGTAACAAGGTGGGCATTCCTCCCACTGACCACCACCGTAACCCGGTGGGCATTCCTCCCACTGACCACCCCCGTAACCCGGTGGGCATTCCTCCCACTGACCCCCCCCGTAACCCGGTGGGCATTCCTCTCACTGACCACCCCCGTAACCCGGTGGGCATTCCTCCCACTGACCACCCCCGTAACCCGGTGTGCATTCCTCCCACTGACCACCCCCGTAACAAGGTGGGCATTCCTCCCACTGACCACCCCCGTAACAAGGTGGGCATTCCTCCCACTGACCACCCCCGTAACAAGGTGGGCATTCCTCCCACTGACCACCCCCGTAACAAGGTGGGCATTCCTCCCACTGACCACCACCCTAAGGTGGGCATGTTCCCTCCAAAGAACTAGTTTTAGCAGGTGCTTCCGGGGGCCTGAAAATGATTTCAAGCGTCCCTCCATGTTACAAAGGTTGAGGAAGGCTGCTCTAGAGATGTTCAACAGGTCACCAACCAGTTCGACAAGCCGGGTGAAGCAGAGCAATGCTCACCTTCCAGCCGGCGGAGCTGTTGCTGTCCCCCTTGTCCTTGAAGTAGGGGACACTCTTGACCATCCAGTCGTAGATCTGGGACAGGGTGAGTCTCTTCTCCGGGGAGCTCTCTATGGCCTGGCTGATGAGGTCGGCGTAGGACAGGTTCCCCCAGGCGTTGCGGCGGGGGGGGCTGCTCTTTCGGGGCTGCTGGGCTCCCAGGGGGGACGGGGATGACGATGGGGACAGGGAGGGCACACTCGGCGGGGCATGGAGCCCCCCACTCTGCTGCTGCTGCTGGCGGGGCTGTGGCTGCAGCTGGTGCAGCTCCTGGCACTGGAAGTCCCCGCACACCCCCAGCGCCTCGGCCGGCTCATAGTCTTCGCTTTCCTCCAGCAGGCTCAGGTTGCTCATAAAGTCCACATTTCCGGCGGCGGGCTCCTGCTGCAGGGAAGGCGCCGGGGACGAGTTGGCCGAGTTGCCCGGGTTAAACTCCGGCCGGGGCAGCGGCCAAGTGCAGGAGCGTGGCCGGGACAGAGGCTCAAAGTCTGGGTCTATCTCCACTACCGGCGGCGCCTCAGCCATGACGAAGCCTGC